TTACCTGGCTAGGTAACATCTTCAGTGCTAAAATGGGATGGGGTTTGCTCTCTATTTATACACTGTAGCATGCTTTGCCAGTGCTGGTGGGGGTGGGGGTTTTGTTTTGCTTCTCTGGTGGTTCCTTGATTAGCATATGTTTACTGTTTGATTGCATGCCTGGTGGTAACCTTTGCTTATCTGGGTGATGATTGCTGGTGAGGCGACCTTTGAAGACCAGAATTAGCATGCCACAGTATATAAATAGAGAGCAAACCCCATCCCATTTTAGCACTGAAGATGTTACCTAGCCGGGTAATGAAACATTTGCAAGAAAACAACCAAGCTCAGAGAACCCCGAAGGACTCCACATTTTGCATTTTGTCTCAGCTATATACACTAAGTAAATAACTAAGACCAATCTTAGATATGGTCCTCAAAACAAGCATTCCTAACTCTTAAGAGTCTTCAGGGCAACAAAGTGGTTCAGACATAATTTGTTTAGGGAGAAAACTAGGAAATGAAATGTTTTACAGTGAAAGAGGGCAGCTCCCCACTACTCAGTGGAATTTCTGAGTATGCAAGTTGTAACATCGTAGAGTAAGGTTCAATGCCCATTTTAGAGATTCTTTTCCCAACCCCACCCTTTCAAAACATTTCCCTTTTATCCAAGGCTTCTGTGGTTTTGGTGGAGTTAGTGTGTTTTCCCACTGTGTGCTTATTTGCAAGAAAAGCTGTTGGTTTTCAAGCTTTTGTTCTATAATTGTTAAAAGCACAGAGGCTCAGTTAGACATGTGAATGGGCAATACTAATTCCTCCCACAGCAAAACAGTTAGTTCCAGGTCATTCCTAACTTGGAAAGAGATATTTCTACAGGCATGCAGCAACTCCAAGACAAGAGTTAACTGATCATTTTTATTTTTATTTCTGTCTTCTAGGTTACTTTTATCCTACCTGATTTTGTATCATCTGCAGATTTGATAAGCATTCCTTTCAGTTCTTCATCCAAATAATGAAAGTATTGAAGAGTAGCAGACACAAGGCTGATCCTAATACCCCAAACCCATGTTTCTATAAACATGAACAGACATGTTACAGCTTGGATATTACACTAGCATGTTGGTATAAACACGTCTAAAATATGATTTTTTTTTAATGACAATTGAATGACAATAAACAGTTTGGGGAAGGCTGAACTAGCTATGGGTATCTCAGTCTAGAAATCTCTAAGAATTTGGGGCTGTAACTACGATAATTCCTCAGCCAGTTATTTTGTTGGCCATACTGGATGGAGAATATTGGGAACTGTAGTTCAACATATTTGAAGAGCACTGAGTTATGGGAGCTGACTTAAAAACTTTGCCAGACATCTTACAGGCCACATAGCCATTTCATCCAATATCGAGCCAGAACTGAATTTGTTACACTGCTACATTCTCTCTCTCTCTCTCTCTCTCTCTCTCTCTCTCTCTCTCTCTCTCTCTCTC